GAAGACGCTCGATAGTTTTCGAGGTCGCTCGATAGTTTTCGAAGTCGCTCGATAGTTTTCGAGTAACTCTCGAAAGTGATCGAGCACGCTCGATAGTTTTCGAGGTCGCTCGATAGTTTTCGAGGACGCTCGATAGTTTTCGAGGACGCTCGATAGTTTTCGAGGACGCTCGATAGTTTTCGAGTAACTATCGAAAGTAATCGAAGACGCTCGATAGCTTTCGAGGACGCTCGATAGTTTTCGAGGACGCTCGATAGTTCTCGAGTTCGCTCGATAGTTTTCGAGGACGCTCGATAGCTTTCGAGAGCGCTCGAAAGTAATCGAGGACACTCGATAGTTCTCGAGGGCGCTCGAAAGTGATCGAGGACGCTCGAAAGTTTTCGAGGACGCTCGATAGTTTTCGAGCAACTCTCGAAAGTGATTGAGCACGCTCGATAGTTTTCGAGGTCGCTCGATAGTGTTCGAGGTCGCTCGATAGTTTTCGAGGACGCTCGATAGTTTTCGAGGTCGCTCGTTAGTTTTCGAGGACGCTCGATAGATTTCGAGTAACTCTCGAAAGTGATCGAGCACGCTCGATAGTTTTCGAGCCGCTCTATAGTTTTCGAGGACGCTCGATAGTTTTCGAGGACGCTCGATAGTTTTAGAGGGCGCTCGAAAGTAATCGAGCACGCTCGATAGATTTCGAGTAACTCTCGAAAGTGATAGAGGACGCTCGATAGTTTTCGAGGACGCTCGATAGTTTTCGAGGACGCTCAATAGTTTTCGAGTAACTCTCGAAAGTGATCGAGCACGCTCGATAGTTTTCAAGTAACTCTCGAAAGTGATAGAGGACGCTTGATAGATTTAGAGGTCGCTCGATAGTTTTCGAGGGCGCTCGAAAGTGATCGAGGACACTCGATAGTATTCGAGTAACTCTCGAAAGTGATCGAGCACGCTCGATAGTTTTCGAGGACGCTCGATAGTTTTCGAGGACGCTCGATAGTTTTCGAGGTCGTTCGATAGTTTTCGAGGGCGCTCGAAAGTGATCGAGGACGCTCGATAATTTTCGAATAACTCTCGAATGTGATCGTGGACGCTCAATAGTTTTCAAGAACGCTCGATAGACTTCGAATTTAAGGCGCTACTGACCGGTATAGGGCCCCAAACATTTAACGCTAATATTGCTTGCGTCGAGTGGGATTTTTTTCCGGCGATGATATTTCTTATGCTTTCTGCTTACTCTGGACAATGATTTTGAATAGTAGGTAATCAGTCGCTCGATTTGCCGCTCCCATGATCGTACGCTCGTGTGCTGTACACGTTTTGCACGCGCGCTTACGGCGGTCCTGAATGAAATATGTAGTGACAAACACACACACGCACACATAAGATAGGTTGTCTTTGATCATATAATGTCTACATACAGCGTCACCAAAAATAGCAACAAAATGACGTTGAAAGATTTCGTGCATGTGTGCGTGCGGCTTTTGGTTTACACGGACCAAAAATGATACCAGCTACGACAAAAATTCTCCCATCTTTATATCTCCCATAAATATTTGGGTACCAGACCATTTAGAAGTATAATAAAAGAAATTGCAACCATCTCTTTAAATTCGATTTTAAAGTTTTTTTTATTGGACGCTTTGTTGATATTTATATTTTGTCATTTAAGGAATTTATTTTCCGTATGAAAAGAATAATCAAATATTCATATTAAGACATTTTTTACATAATTTGTGTAAAACCAATTTTATTATTTATAAAATATTATTGCAGTTGCACCCTTTCCATCAAAAAAATATAACTTGGATCGATTCAAACTTAAGAAGAAGGATCGAACCCAAGATTTTTAGGTCGGTTAGAATAATAGTACATTAAAGCGTAGGTAAGCGTTAGTTCAATAAATAATAAAATTATTATATTACTAGCTTCTGCCTGATGCCTACATGATTTCTATGTAGCTTTAACTATTAAGCCTGCACACGCGACGCAAGCTTAAAAAATGGAGTAACTTCTCCCGTTTTCTTACCACATTTCTTCACTGCTCTACTCCTATTGATTGTAGCGTGATGAAAAGTATATTATAACCTCCCCAGGAGAATGCAGAATGCAGAATAAAGAAGATGTGCACTTGGGCCCCACGGCCCTAAAGTTTCAACCCCAAACGGTTCGACAGCATAATTGCCAATCAGGCTATCATACTTTCGCCGTTTGAGGTTCTCGGCAGCAGCAGCGGCAGCACCGGCTCGACACGCTGAGTTTGGAAGATGGGATGGCGCCAGAGTATCAACGCAAGTGGCGTCCTATACTAAAGGCCTACCCATCTTCAAGGGAATAATGACATACCGTCGGGTCTCTTGCCATCGTTGCGTACCAAGCCATTAGGTTCTAAAGTAGCTGGCACGCCAACGGAGACAAGAGGTCGACGAATTATGTCATTAATACGTGTCGAGCAAAACGACCCGCACTACGGCTACACGACAAGCCGTAGTGTCCAAGGCTGTTGACATTTTCACCACAACGACAACGATGAGGTGAACAAAATGAAGCTCCAAGCCTTAAACAAATTTCCGGCCACCGTAAGCGCGGGCCTGCGGACGGCGAGCATGGGTGGCTCCCCGTCCGACCAGAAACAGACCCGAGCGTACGGCGCGTCGCGTTCCGCGCGCGCCTCAAAGAGCCATCAGACCACCACAGATGGGGCCCAATACGGCCGATGCCGATTCGGAGTCGCGGAGAACCTAACGGGTAACCGGGGCTCCGACTCGACGTGCAGGAGAAGGAACGGGGTGGTTTTTAGTCAGTAAGAGTCTGACACTCCCTCCCGCCTCACCCAGGCGGGAGCAGTCATTCGATGATTTCCCCCCCTTAAAAAAAAGCCTTAAACAAACTGCAGCGCGAAATGTGGTGTCGTTCAATAAAGTATCTAAGTTGGAAAAAATTAATATTATGATAAAGATTAATTAATATTATGTTGACACAACTCTAACAAATAAATGTTTAATAATTTCGACCAAATTAGTTACCATAAAAGCGGTTTTTGTGAGTTAATCTTAAAAGATAGACATATACTGTCGCGGACTTTTTTGTAGATCATTTTAAGACAAATAATTCTTTCATACATTTATTTTGTGTATCTTGAACTGTACTTGCAGCGCACGCAACGGAAGCCCTCGAATGAATAATTTTCCCCGTTTTTTACACATTTATCACGGTTTCTTCGCTCCTATTGGTCGCAGCATGATGTTATATAACCTATAGCCCTCCTCGATAAATTGACTTTCCAACACAAAAATAATTATTCAATTCGAATCAGTAGTTTCGGATATTAGCGCGTTCAAACAAACAAACTAAAAAACAAACTCTTCAGCTTTATAATATTAAATAGTATAGAGTATAGATGTAGGTATAACTATATCTACTATATTAAATGAAAACTTTTGTTTTATATCATTAATTTCCCCGTGAGCACTGCATTTTCCCCTAAAGTTTATTTGTTTCGTTAGCATTCAAAGTACTCCCTTTAATAAACTTTTACCGTCTGTCTTCCTCTTCGGGTCTATTAATTTGCAATTGAATTTGTCAAGTTGAAACAACGAACTTGTATTTAACGTTTTAAAGGATATTGTCCTTTGGCATTGAGATTGTAAGTTAAGAGAATAACTTCGCAGGAACTGGCCAGAGAATTTCCGATTTAATATTTTGGTGTCTTGTTGGTTTGGCGAAGGCAGGAGCAACTGACACAAGAGGAATTTGTTCCTCATCTATGTGTTTTTTATTTTTCAATTAAGTAATACTTTATTCGACACGGTGATTAAACAAGTCAACGTTCTACCCAATTCACCAACACGCATAAAATACTACTTCGAAAATAGCTAAGGACGACCCTTTTAACAACTTTTTAATAGACGACACAGTAAGAACTTCAAATAAACCACTAATACCCCATTTTACTAGCATATTCTATTTCTGTGAAGTGTAAATGTACTTTTAACTACAGCGAGAATAAAAATATTCACGCATGATGCCAAAGATTTTGTATCCAACAAAAAATAATGTGGACCTGCCGCGGACGTTTATTGATGATCGCTTTACGTGTACATACAGCTGCAAATCGAGCTATAAAATCCAGTTTATCTTGGTCTCGCTTTTTTACGATCTTACCGCACATTGAATGGTCAGTTTATACTGGTTTTGTATAGTTCGATTTGCAGCCGTCTGTGGTAACTAGGACTTTTAATCAAGACACATAACCGACTGTTGCGGAAGGAAAATAAAGTAATACTTTAACGACCTAAGTTAATTGGCATCCATTTTTTGGGTAATTAGGCAAAGGGGCTATAAAAGCATGAAGGCATAAACTTTATATTATGAAGAATAAAAACCTTTGTGATAATGTCACAGGTAAGGTTCTGTTGGTTTTTAAGGTTAATTTCTGTTTATGTTAAGACGGCGGGGGAAATACAAAAATGGTTATTATAGTCTCAATAAAAGTAGAATATTTTAAAAGACTGAGTGAAACATTGAGTAAAATTAAGTCTTCTTCAAAGAATTTTCATTTGAATCTCCAAATAGATAAAAAACATTCACACAGCGTAGTAAATTCAAAAAGAAATTGCGAAAATACCCATAAATCCGTGTTGCAAGTTGTCACTATCCAATCCAAATTGACGACACAATAATAAGTTGGGGCGGAATAGGAAGGAAAGGTAGTAAATTTGACTGTGCCAAATACATGAAGGTTTCGAGTTTCGGGAAGATATTTGCACGTGTCTTATGGTATATCTGATTGTACAAAAGATTTCAACTAAAGGTCTTTTGGATAGTTAAGTTATCAAAAGCAACAAGAGCACGTATACGATTTGTCCCTAAAATGAATGTATATTTTCAGAACTTTATCAACAGGAAAACAGAAGCCATTATTTTGCAATCAGTAGCGTTACCCCGATTACAAATGGATATTCAAAATTGTTTGCTGTATTTCATGTTTTGATATTTTTTCATTGTTTTGTTACTAGATGCCGAATTTTGATGGAGAGTTTGCTAGCTGCCTGGACTGAGGAATATGAAGTGGCTATGTCCTGTCATCATTTTTAGCTTCATTCTCTTTGAGACTTTTCCAGGACATCATGTAAGTAAAATGTACACTTGAAAAATAAACAACAGACCAAGTTATTATTTTATATTTTTATATCTAGTCCTACCCATTTTATGAAAGAAAGGAAGAAAAATTATTTATTCGTTATTAGTCATGATCTATAAAATATACAAACATAAAATAACAATTAAAAAGAAAATAAAAAACAATGAAAACATAAATAACATTAAAAACAGCAGTTAAAAACAACAAAAGCAAAGAACAATATAAAAAAATAAAAAAGCACATGGTGGCAACATGCCCATGACGAAAGGGCCTGGCAACTCAGTTTCAGCTAGGCACAGTAAGTACCCAACACAATAATAATTTTAGGGATATAAAAATTTTCTAGATTACAAAGATAATGAAACAGTAATAGTTGTACGAAACCTGTTTAAACTGAGAAACACTAGCTACTATTGGTGAATTCTTAGAAATAGTTTCGTACCTACGTAGAAATTGTACATTACCTCACGTTTAAGGTCATTTAATCCTGGTATTCATCAGAATAATCAATATCTAGTGATTCTGAATGTTCCTCGTAAAATCTAAATTCTATTAATACTTGCAGATATCTAAATGTCTATAACTAGAGTATTAATTTCCGCTGTACCAAATACGTAGTAAATGCACATTATGTTGCATTATTGCACATGAAAGCAGTAGATTTTAAAAGTTCTAGATCCATGACCATTGCAGATGACAATGCATTTTCGATCACAAAAAATATCTGGCTCGCCGCCAAATTGAAATATATGTCTTGGTTGATTGCAGCGATTGTATGGGATACTGTGGCTTTTGAAAACGATTGACCTAGTTATCCATGTAGTAAACTGATTGTAATCTCAACTATTATGTATTGTTACGATATTGATATATTGTGTCTAACTTATGAATGTTACAGATTGAAAACGAGGTGACAGCGCACCATGAGGACCAAATGATTTATACCGAAGACAGTGATGGTTTAGATTATATTGTTAAACATAAAAAAGGTAGCGATATTCCTGTTTTTCTTTTTTTAGCATTTCACTTATGGAGGCTCTTTTGTGTGATTAGTTACGTTTATATCTAATAACTATTGTTACTACTGTCTATATAATTTTTTTCGTATCAGTCTGATTAAAACACAGAACGTCTCGTCTATATAATACGTAAGAAACATAACGTACCTTAAAAAATGCATGCCTAGCTTATCTAAAATATTTTTGCGTAACAAGGATCCTTTTCCTGAACTGTTCTTTCAATTTTAGGTTCACATTTAAAGGGGTCTTCATACACGTCGTGGGGTCGTTGGAGTCCGTGTCAGGGCGGGCATAGGACCCGTCGACGACACTGCTTACGTCGACACATATGCGGAGACTCGCTTCGCATAGAAATCGCTAGGTGATCTTTGAATATTTTATAGAAATACAATTCATACAAAGGTACACGACATAGCGTTACAATTTGAATGCTTTTGTGAATATTTTTGTATCTGATTTTTCTTGGGAATATATAAAGTGACGCATACACATCCACCTATACTAAAATGTGAATACTTTTAGTAGACTTTGGGCGTTATTACTAAAACTTACGTTACTACCTACTAAAAGACACTGTTCAAATTGAACTGTTTCTATTTATGGTGGCTTGATATCTGGCTGACGTCTATATGTTATTGATACGAAATTAACAGACACAATCCGACGAAAGTATGAGTCATCACAAAATTCCACGGAGACCATTTGTATTGTTTACTAATAGTTGTCTAAGAACACATGCGCAATTCAATTAGATCATTTAAATTGTACTAATTAATGGTTTGACTGTAAATCTGTGCTGCGAGCCTAATTCAGAGAATCAATTATTTTGTTCTCTAGAGTTGATTAATGTCTCTTTGAAACATTATGTTCTGAGTGTGAAAGTAATGAAACTTCAGAACATGTTTGCCATTTAGCGAACAATGTAGTCTGCTTTAATAGGAATAAGCTATATTTTTCTTAAAAACCCAATCAAGAGAATTGAAAGTAATTTTGTTTGACAGGTGCAAAGAAAGAAAACATCGAGCCCGGAATAATCCATCACCAGAAGCGCTAACAGAAAGAAATGTTACAATAGTAAGTAACCAAGTAATTGACGATAGAGAATGATTAAGTGGATATGCCTCATTTAGTTATAGCCACGTCTAGTCATCATACTACCGCAACCTAAAATAAACCGCGACTAATTTTACTTCACAACTTTTATGTATAAAGTTTTCGTACAAAATTTCTCTTTGAATAATTTTACAACGCTATGCATAATATTTAGATATAGATGAAATTTTAGTTAGTTTAATGGGCATACCTATATCATGTTTGTTTATGTAATGGCAGATACATATAATAAACATTAGTCCATTTGAAGTGGTTGGCGATGAATAACGAATCTAGATGATAAAGTATTACTGACTGTAGTAGTCGTAGTGGGTGGTGAATGTGGTGATAGATAAGATAATGTTTAGAGTTGAACGTTCGATAATGTATTGGCAGCAAGTACGACAGCTGAAGGCCGAGGACGTGCAGAAGAGGTTCCGAGGATTCTCGCAATGGAGCTCGTGGAGCGCCTGCTCTAGAAAATGTACTACGGTCAGACGGAGGTAAGTTATACTTAAATTCACAAATAGACTCACTTATTGCATAAATAGTGAAAATTGGGTGTTATATTGTACCGTGGTATTAAGTCCCTGCACCTCTGCGCACATCTTCGGGGATAAAAGGCGTGATGTAATGTTGTATACACAAATTCCATACAGCCCAGGCTTACAAAATCCAGCGGGGTAAACTAAAAAGCATTTTATTGCTTCTTAATAAACTCAAGACGATTGAGAAAGAAGTTAGTTTTTATTTCCTTTCCTTTTCATATCCTTTAGTGCTACAGGGTTAGACAAATACCAACCTTCCACAAACCGTTCCCACTTCATTCTCCATATACTAATTTTGCTATGGGTAGTAATAAAAGCTCCATAGATATATAAATAAAAGCTCCGACAATTTTTTTATGGCATTATTTTTTATATGACAAAAAAGAATAATTGTCCTTACTCAAAATATTAAATCTACTGCCTGAAATACTAACTTTCCGACTACTTTTGTCCGACGAAACGACCGAATGAGATATTGAAGTCTGCGAAAAATAAACATGACTGTTTATTGTTATAATACTTTTCTACCAGCATAAATTACGCTCTACTTAAAACTATGCTTTGTCTAACCTAACGTAAAACTCTGTAGTCGTAGTTATACGTTCAGTATTCTTATTCGGAAGTTTAGTTTGTTATTCGAAGATCCATTTTTATAGTCGGCTACAGATCACTGGAGATTAATTTGTATTTCGGAACCATTATTATTTCCCTTTGCTATAAGTATCAAGAATTGATCACGAACCCACGGTTGACCTTGACTGAGGGCTGTGTTAATAGCGTTCAAGTTCGAAGGGTATTTTAACGCCTACCTTAACCATTAAACAAACAATGGTTGAAGAGTTTCTTCTCATTAATTTAGTTTGACATTCTTAACAACCACACAACCTCGCAATTCTTGACTTAAATTTTATTATAAATACTAGCTTTTACCCGCGGCTTCGCTCGCGTCACAAAAGGATAAAAAGTAGCCTATGTGACATATACCAATACACACAGCGCCATCTATACCAATAATTTCGTTTTCCCTTGATAATATACATTTTTTCCGGGATAAAAAGTACCCTATTATTTAATCCAGACTTCTAACTTTACGTCTGCAAAATTTCAAAGCAATCGGTTTAGTAGTTACGGCGTGAAAGTGGAACAAACAAACAAACAAACTCACTTTCCCATTTATAATATTAGTAAGGAAGCACATAAGATCTGTGGTCGTTTGCACCAACCACACATACACCTTAAACCATTATTTAAATTTTTACTAGCAACTTAGCGTAAAGTAGCACCTAAACTTCACTTACTTGTACTGTTAGAGTTCAGTTATGGATATAAGATAACCAGAAGGTCATAAAATGCAGTCTATCTTAGCTTAAGAGCTTCTTAAAATTTAGCTGTGGTTAGTGTAAAGCGCATTATTCTTTTTATTTTCCTTCCAGATATTCTTCATCTTCACTGTTATACCTAGGTTTATCAATATTTAACGCAAGAGATTGCAAAGCATGAAAGTGCAACGCCTTTGCCAACAGTTTGTTATAGCAAGTCACGTATTTTTATCTTGTATGTATGAAGTCAGGAATAACCTAACCCACAAGAATTTCTAATTCCATTAGATCAAATTGATAGACTGCAAAATTATGGACTAGATTAAATTCTGTGGCTAGGATATGCTGAAATATGGAATTTATAAAAAGGGTTTAAGATTAGTTCGTGCGATGGCGCGTTGTTTCAATTTAATAAATTAAGTAGTATATACCGGGTAAGGGGTCTCGGGTTCGATTTCGGGGTCGCGCAAAGTATTACTGGGTTTTTAAAAAAAATCTTAGTTGTAGCACGGAGTCTGGAAATGTGCCCGGTACTTATATGGCAATAGGCTCACCCCCTATTACATGTTTTAACATAAATAGTAAAAAGTGGGAGTTACATTGTACAATGGCATTAAGTGCCGTAATGTGTACCTCTGCCTAATCCTGCAGGGATAAAAGGCGTGATGTTATATATATATATATTAGCCTATATATATATATATATATATATATATATATATAGGCCTATTATGACCATATAGACCATAATCTACATTTTTTTAATTTCATCCCGGTCGAATTTATATTAGCCGGTCAAGTACCATCAGCCTACCTACACATACATCATACATGTGTCTAGGAATCCAGCTGCACAAATAAGTTTGTTTTTTAGTCCATGTACTTTTTGGAATAAAAAGTACCCAGTGAGATGCCCAGTATATTAATATATCTTCGTACCAAGTTTCATTGTAATCAGACCGTCAGTTTTTACGTGATGCGTGAACATACAGACAGACAGACAGACATTTATTTAATAATATTTTTAGCTTCGATGGCCTACAATTTTTTTTATATATTTTCAATGTGCAGCATTTGCAATAGGCATGGCGACTATTTTTTAATTTTTTGTCCGTCTTTTAGATATTTTAAAAATCTTCGATACGTATCTTTTCTTTTTTCTCGTATCCAAAAAAACATGTAGGTAGATATTTTGAGTTAAAATGACACGTGACGTCACAATTAGGTACGATTTCTCCGTAAGTGTGACGTCAACACCCCCCCTCGCTAACTTTAATGCGGAATAACTACGTATTCTTCTGTTAATTTGATAAAACAAAAAATACGTGTCTGATATTTTCGTGCGATCTTAATGACGGACTAATTACTTTTTTGATTTTTTACCCTGTCGACACGCCTATTCTACAGTTTTATTAGGTATATGTATATAATGTACGTATGTATATATATAGATATAGATATAAGTGTATTTACCTACAATTGTTATAATATTTAATTTCAAAAAGTATTTAATATATCGAAACTCATTTCTTAACTTCACAATGATCAAAATCATGTTCCAGAAGGTAAAAATAGACATAGCTGTGCTTAATATAGAGTACACCAATTTCTTGTTAGATATATTTTTGCCGAACACAGCACTTGAATTCGAGACTTCGAGCTCATAAATATCAATTTTCTTTTATATCACTCTAAATATAATTTACATTCAAGGAATTGTTTGTTCCTTTTCGTTTTTTATTAATGTTGGTACTTTTTCTCTCGATATATTTTAATTCTTATAAAAAGTAATATCAAAATACTTATCCGGGTATATGTTTAGTTGGTATTTATATTTTATAATTTCTAATTAGGTATAAGTTTGATATCGCCAACCCGCATTGAGCAAGCGTGGTGATCAAAGCTCGAAGTCTTTGGTCAGTACTGGCCACTAGGCTCTTAATGTGATGATGACGTGTGGTATAGGTAATCAAATAAAAAACAAATTATTTAAATGTATGTTTGTGTGCGCAAAACTCCTACACAATTGCACCAAATCTCCTACACCAATCTTTTTTTGACTCTTTTACAATTCCGACAACGTTTATGAAAAAGTATAGGAACCTTTCGGAAAAATACAGGTATACAAAAAAGTGGCATACCACGAGTATATTATGATTCTCTTAATATATTAAAGTTAACTTGTCGAATTCCTCGCCAAAACAGTTACGTGAGTAAACCGAAAACATAATAATTCATTTAACTATATTCATTTATAGTTACCTACTAGATTAAAATTTCAAAATCAGTTTTGTTAACTAACATACTCTAACAAGTACATGTTTGCAATGTTAAATGTTTATACAATTATGTACCACGTATAAACTTTATATTTTACTAAATAATTTTCCATTCATGTGTTCCTCTAAAGGTTGAATGAAATACCTTTTATGGCAAAATAGCTTTGTAATTATAAAACCTTTCGCAGCTTCGTTTTTGCTTTGAAATTTTATCGGCTTCCATTATAGCATACATCGGTTTATAATCTGTGTATGGAAATTTTGTTTTTGGTACCTTAATGGCTTTAAGTGACTCATATATAAGAAAATTGTATGATGGAGATTCGTAATCAATGGGTCGCAACATCGTAAATAACGAACAAAACTAAAGAGGTAGAAAGTTTAGCGCGGACTAACGCTCGTACATGCAGTCACAGCCACGATCTTTCCCAACAGTGTTTCCCGCGCCCCTTGACATCTGTCAACGTCATTCCCTGTCAAATGTCAAAATCTGATAAATCTTCCGGATCGATTATTCAATCGGTGTTGCCATTACTCCGCGATAGCCATTCTCAAGTAATTGCTTAACATTCTCAAACCAAAGTTGCCAAATCTAAATCGATTGACATGCAAATGTGCTGTCTAAAATAGGGCAAATAGAAATTTAATAGTAATAAAGACAGCATTTTCATACTGATGTGTGTGGAAAACTAAGAAAATATTGTTTTAAAATCGATGCACTAGATATAACTGAAAAATAATTCAACGCTGAAACAGTACTCGAAGTAGTATTACTGCAGTGATTGGTTTTTCAAGCCACAATTGCAGTAAGTTGAATAATATTTTACGTTTTAGTACATTGATATAATGCAACGTACCTCAATGAAATTAATTGCAAAATGGTAAATTTACTGACCAAAGTATAAAGCCTTACAATGGATTAAAAACGTTACATTTCATCATGACTTAATCACCAAAGGGTGTAAACGGAGATGCACATTAATTAATTAAATTAAACTAGCTTCTGCCCGCGACTTCATACCCACAAATACCTAGGTGATTCCCATTCCCGTGGGAATTTAGAGAAATCCTCTCTTAGCTCCCCCCCTACACTCCCCAAGGAACATAAATGCCAAGTTCCAGTTTCCTAAGTCCAGTAGTTTCGGCTGTGCATTGTCAGTCGTCATGGTGGCCCTGAGGTTAAAGATGTCCGCGAGTTATAAGTAATAACGACACCACTAACAAAGGGCGAAGGAAAATATCGTGGAGCAACCTGGGCTTATAATTTCTAATTATTATATTATTATAAGCTTGAAATAAAGGTCTAAGATACTATAAACATATTATAACTTTGGTGAGACATACTAAATTATTATGTTTTTCGGCTTACTCACGTCATTGTTTGACGAGGAACTCGACTAGTTTCATGCCATACTGGAGGCTCATGTTCATGAGCAGCATTCCGCGACCCGCGACGACGCGACGACTGTCGCGCTCCTACTCCGCTTAGTTTGAAATCGCCAACCCTTCAACAACAGTCGCGGAGAACCTAACGGGTAACCGGGGCTCCGGCTCGACGTGCAGGAGAAGGAACTGGGTGGTTTTTAATCAGTAAGAGTCTGACACTCCCTCCCGACTCATACAGGTGGGAGCAGTCAGTCGATGATTTTCCCCCCTTAAAAAAAACCCTTCAACAACAAACCTTCTCCATGTGAGAAGAGGCATTTGGTCAGCAGTGGCTACTTATATGCTGTTGATGATGTGATGTGACATTGTCAGTCAGTCACTTAGTAACCGAAGAGTTTTATAAATGGGTGATATAGATAATAGTGAAAATTAAATCAATCAAGTTTCTTAACTCTCCTTACCAAGCAGAAATTCGTTAATTTACGTAAAATGGCGCTCTCGTTACGGATCAACATTAATCATCTTGGGGCATGGACACGGCAATGTTTATTAAATTTCGCAAACAATCGAGGAAGCTGATGACTTGTATTTATATATGTTAACCAAAATAATGACAATATTATTAATTATCTGGATATTACTATTTATCTTTTATTTAGATATTACTGGCAACGCACTTGTAACTCCTAGGCTTTTAGTTGTCCATGAACGACGACGATTGCTTAGTAAGCTGGCCTACGCACAAATAAAAAAAAAATACAATTTAAATAAACTGAGCTGGTAACCTATTTGGCATGAATATGTTGCTAATTTGTTTTGCTTTAGAGGCAATAAAGCCATAGATACTTCACCAACAGACGAAGCTGTACAATATGGTGATGTAGTTATCGTAACTGCTTACCTCGCTCTACTTACAAGTTCTGGGAATAAAAAGGTTGAGTCATGTTTGGGTTTCACTATAATAAATGATTAAATAGATGATAAATACACAAGATATTATGAATGTAATAGTTGCTTCCTCAAACAAAAAAATCTAAACCGTCTTGGAATTTATTACAGTAAAGTAGGGTAAAATAGCTCGCAAATCGCTCGAATATTTCAAACACGCACATTTTGAGTGATTCCCCAAACTGTGGAGTATCACTCAAATAAAAATTGCATTCTGACATAACCATGTTTTAGGAAAAATAATGGTGTTGTTGATCAATCGTTTTTAGGGTAACGAAACGTCGATGGATGGTTACTGCGCCCCAAAGTCCATATAAAGCTATCCATCATCGTGTCTATACATACAATCATACATGCCTACATCTATTGACAAGTCATTACGGGTTTTCAAACGCGAAGAGACTTATTCATCTGTGCGTCCATGCAAATCTGGTAGGTTGGTCGGCTTACGAAAAATTTTAAAGTGTCACTGTTCATTATTATACTCTGTGTTCAGTCATTAGCTTTATTAAGAAATTCAGTATATTTTATGAACTGTACTGTATTTCTAAGTGAGCTATAGAGCTAAAAATAGGTAGTGCGCTATATTTAACCTTATTAAAGAGAACCAGCACAAATAAACTAAAAAATAACTATCAATTAATATTTTGATTGCGAGAAGGACTTTTATCTTGATTGCGGCTGGAGTCCCCATAATTGAAACAATTCACTTTTCCACAAAACAATATAAACATTTTGGCGGAAACCTAGATAAATCGCCTAAGTACACATACTACATAACAGTCTCATATCCTCATAAACCGAGTTCGTTTTAAAATCCTTGTCTAAAGATGAATTACTTCCACAGGCACTGTTTACGACGAGCGATATGCGGTCGACAAGTGATACGGCAGTCAGCGTACTGTTACATGGAAGGCAGTTACTGCCACCATTGGATTCGAACCAGGATGCAGAGGAGAAAGGACCCAGGTGATCTAGCACATAGGTACCTATTCACATTAACAACGCTTTTTTCACATTTATTTAATCAATGCTGAATAACTTTACTGCTATATTTTGTAATTAGAAATTCTATACGCTATTGTTAATTAATTTATATGCGTAAAAGTATACGTAGCGTGTTTTCTTCCTGGATGAATTTACATAATTAAGTCTAAAAATAACATTTTATGTAGAATATTTATATTATAACTTTCATAAGACATACTAAATTAATTATTATGTTTTTCAGCTTACTCATTTTAGATAATTGAGTAGAAATAACTAGTCTAGTTCCTCCTCAAAAAATAGGGTAGTTTCCTAAATTTTATTTTAATGTCCGTCTGGTAGATTTATTTCAAACTTTAGACACGTATTTTTTCTTTTCTCACAAAATTACATACTTTCGACGACATATTCATTTGAAATATCTTGTGACGTCACAGCGTGTCACATTATGACGTAACGACCTCCCCCTCCAAAACTTAGCGCCATTTTATCTAAGTATCTAACCCAACATAGCTTAATACGAGAAAATAAAAAAATACGTGTCTAATATTTTTTCATTATCTAACTGACGGACTAGTTAGATTTTTCATTTTGATACCCTGGAAACTACCCAATTACGTTAGTAACTCGAAAAACATATAAATTATTTTATGTAGAATATTTCTTATACACAATCAATTCCTTCTATATTATGTTCACAATAATTAAAGGTATTAGTTAAATAAAACTCGTTATGTAATCAATAGATTGATATCCCGTTTTAGCTACAAAAACTGGTATCTGATTACTGATCACTGGCTGGACCTAGGCAAGTAGAAACGCGTTTTTCTAAGCGTAGGCCGATCTGGAATGTGGTTATAGAAATTCCTACATCGAGGCCTGTGGTTAGTAAGCAGTAGATACCTAAATAAATAAATTCTCATTCGATGAGATTGAGTTGCTCGGTAAGATTGAACGACGTTCAATTACTTGTATAGTTGTAGATAAGGAAAAGTATATATTCTGTATTATGTAATAGAGAAAATATTAAAAGCATTGTGTAACAGAACAATGAAATATATTGTGATCTACTGAGTTTTATAAATAAATAATATAACATAATAAGACGCCTTTTTATCCCCGAAGGGGCAGGCAGACGTGCACATTTTCGGCACTTAACTCGTTGAGTACCGTCATTATAGACACAATTATAGAACAATAGGTTGCGGTCCCCGGTGTCCGCTTGGTGTTTGACAGTTTAACGCCATTGTACAATGTAACGCCGACTTTTCACTATTTACCTTATGAGTCCCATGTAATAGGGGGTAAGCCTTTTGCCATATACCGGGCACATTTCCAGACTCCGTGCTACTACTAAGATTTTTAACAACCCAGTAATACTTTGCCCGACCCGGGAATCGGACCCGAGGCCCCTTTTGCCCGGTAGTCGCACTTGCGACCGCTCAGCCAACGAGGCAGCAATTAACATAAGTAATCAGTTTATATTTAACCCTAAATCCTAAATCCTAAATCACAAATGAAAGAGTTGTCACACAGTAACAGAACTCACTTAACATTAGAAAGCTAGCTTGCAAAGAACAATGAAATATCTGTAGGCTATTTGTATACGGTATTCTAACTTTGTGCCACAAAACTTTAAAGACGGGAGTGTCGGCGAAAAGCATGATTTATGTCTGACACATGACAGTTACATATGCATATAACTTAAATTCCAGACAGCGAAACGTATACATATGATGTTAGGCCTCAGGCAGACTTGCTACTTTAAAAATTGTCCAACTGTTGCTTGGTGACTGTTTTATGTAATTTTGTTTAGTCATTGCTAAAATAATAGTTCTTGTCTATTTTTCTAATGATTTATTTACCTATTTATTAAATTTACAACGATCATAAACCAATTGGGTACGTGACAACTAGTCAAATTCTATACTTTGTTTCGACCTGTCAGAAACGACAGTTTTCTATGAATTTGTACAAGATTGTGTATTGTGACGTCACTTTTTTGCGACAAACAGCATACTTGTTTCTTAAAAATTTGCTGATTTGCTGGAAAACTATTAAAATTAAGTTGTCCATAAAACCAATTAATGAAAGTTTGATTATTGTTTAATATTTTATTGTATTGAACAGTCGAAATAATTTATTTTTGATAAAGGAAAGTAGGTACTCAATTACAGTAACTGATAATATCCTTTGATGATCAACTTCGTAGTGAGATCTAAAACAATCAGTTTAGTGTAGTAGGATACTTTAACCTTAAACGTATATCATATTCTGACTAGCTAATGAAGAGTTTACAAAAGTTGCAGTGATTACGAATATGGAGAATATATTATGGAATATGAAAACGGTTTATATAAATAGCTCACTACTTTTTACGCGTATTGCATTTCATTGTTAATGAAAGTATGCAAAAGTAACTTAATCGTGAGACATTACGTCAAAAAGTGGCAAGTTTGCTCGGATCCTTTATATTCATTTTGTGGCGTCTGTAATTGTGTATTGTTTAAGGATAATTTCTGTTCTTTTGTAAATCATCTGCGGTAACTGTAGCAAGACATTATCGCTCGAGTTTAAAGTCTTGACTGCAAAATTCTTCATATTTTTGCACAAAAGGTTTCATTCGTTGTTTCATTTGTAGCTCGTTTTAAAATACTAAACTTCCACGAAATGACTTGAGACAAATTGAAACAAGAAGATGTGAGCTCAAGCTGAATAAGTCTCGAATATATTAAAATCTAACAAGTTGTTTACACAATATGAATTTCTGGGAAAAAGATTTCATTTTCTCGTTGTGAATGTGAAGCAAATTGTGCATCAAACACTTATTTCTTTATATTTTAGTTGAAAATATTATAACTAAATGAAGGTTGATTTATTTCTCTCCGCATGTATACAAATTATACTTACTAACTCATTTAAGTTTTACGCAGGTAACCTAGATGAATTAAAAGTCAGGTACAAATATTTTCAAACTTTATATCAATCCCCTAGTGTCCATTTCGTACAATCCGAATTTCAATAAAATAAAAGTCAAATAGACCCTTTCAAGATTTCACTAAACTACTTTATCTTGTTGACAAGACCCTTTTCCGTACAATTGAAACTTTTTGATAAATCTTATTAGGTTTTTTTTACTATAAACAGGTAACTGGGTTCCTTTGCATACCGTTCTGTTGATAAGACATAGAGAAGAAATACAATAAAAAAATAGACGGTACAAATGATACCGTGACAATTAAAAATAGAATTGGAAAACAAAACAATTCTATTATTGCGCCGTATTGTCGCCGTTTGGCCAAATGGCGCGTTAAGGTGAATGCTGTGTGCCGAACCTACCAGTTATAACAGGTACCTACTAGAACAAATAGAGTTGAGAATTGTTTTCTTTTTACAGGATATTCAAGTTATTCAACAGAGCAGTTTATGGCGGCGACTCCAGCCCCTGCAATACATCCTCAAGATTCCCGAGCAAGTCCACCCACACCCCCTTGTGGGAGAGTAGGTCGGTATCGGGGGTCTGCGTCTGCGCGCCTTCGACAGCGCATGCGTGATATGGTGCGCATTATTGGTGGACGGCCAGCGCCACCTGGCAAATGGGCCTGGCAAGTCGCTGTACTCAACCGATATAAGGTAAGTTTTAGACATTCTTTTGTTAAATGCTAGGAAAAGGAAAGTAAACCGTAACAATTTAATTGAAATGAACGAATGACAGTTATTCGATTTGATAAAACGTTTGATTGAACAGTCTAACAGAGCCACCATAAGTAATTCCGCAACTGTCTACCGCAGGCAATTGGAATTTGTAATTTGTTCACCAAATTGGATTAAATGTTAATTTTACACTTGTTTGCATTTCATGAACTTTAGAAATACGGAAATATTTATGTTATTAACCGACATTTAAAAAATAAACACGAAGGTCTGATATAAAAATGAATCAATGAACTGTGGCAATATGAACCTAATTTCAACAATTGGATATTCAATTTGAAAACGAATTAAAATGATATCTTAGTCTTTAAATAGTCACTGGTTTATTGGCTCCAGGTAACTACTGTTTTCATGAGTTGTTTGTTAGACTACCTATTAGCAATCGTACGTAGTGTAATTATTTGCCATATACGCAACATTAGGCATTTAAATGGTATTAAACTATGTTACTGCATTATGTGCTGAAATGAGGATGATAACGATATATATATATGTAGTTATTAGTAGTAGTAGTTATGTTATTTCCAATTTATATATTATCTTTTATAGTATTGTTATTTAGTAATATTGATAATTTATCTTATGTAATTTACATTATACCTATTACACCTACTGTTGCACATCTCTGCATCACCCCATGGTTGACTGTTAGAGAATGCCACCCGGCATTAAGTCCGCCATCGTATGTTATAATATACAGAAGTGTTAATAAATAAATAAATAAATAAATAACGAGGTATGAAAATTAAAAATTCACGGAGTCCGTCAGTTTAGTAATGAAAAAATATTGAACACATTTTTTTTATTTTGTCGTTTAGTTTACGAGATGCTAGGTACGTCAAAACGTATCTATAAGTGTCGTCACGCGTTATTTCAGATCAATATGTCGACGATGTTATTTATTTCAACAAAAAATAAAAATAAAAATACGTGTCTAATGTTTTAAAATAAACCAGATGGGTCTAATGTTCGATTGTTTTTTACTCTGTGTTTTTTTGTTTGTGTCCAGTTTATGGCAATAAGCTTACCTCGTATTCGATGGGACTCGTACTGACCATAATCAGGTGAAAAGTGGGTGCTTCATTGAAAATTAGCACCTCTGTCTATCTCGTAGAGGATCAAAAGATCTTCTTTTTTAATATATATACACCTAGATGATAAAATTAAATTTAAACACATAAACATTTAACATCACGCCTTTTATGCCCGAAAGGGTAGGCAGAGTTGTTCATTTACTTAATGCAACTGTACAATGCAACACCCACTATTTATGTTATCAGTCCCATATAATAGGGGGTGAGCCTATTGCCATACACCGGGCACAATTCCGGACACCGGGCTATTATTGAGGGTCTTTAAAAACCCAGTAGTACTTTGACCGATCCGGGAATTGAACCCGAGACCCCTTGCCCGGCGGTCGACTTGCGACCACTCGGCCAACGAGGCAGTACTTAAATTTAAACTAAAAGTGCCTAATATTGATATGATATGATATTAAAATAAAGATTTATATGAACATCATTATGTTCTATCGAACTTTTATTATTTCTTTATATAAACTTTTACCTACTAATTCTATGAATAATTTACAAGAATGTGTATAAAGAATGTTGGATAAATAAAGAGAGTAATTAAATGTAGGAATGTTTAATTTGTATACGTATCTGCTTTTTGTGAAAATAAATCGTACATAGGTTTAATCCAGTCAGTTCTGTGCTAAAATAAATTACGCTGTGTTTAAATTGATTACCTTAGGTACGCTGAAATACTCAAATGCCACTCAATGTTAACTCCACTTAGATATAGTTCTGTTACCACAAATTCTTTGTGAAAGACAGAGATAGCATGATATTTAAGTACATACAAATTAAAATTGAGCAATCTTTCAGTATCAGGCGTTAGTGTTTTAAAAATATGTTAAGTTTTGTGATCACTTTTAAATTTGAAATGAGGTAAAATTAATTACCTTTGTAGGTAGCTCAACTAGTTTCAAACCACGTCGGGGCCCATAGATTTGACCATCGATTTTTGAGGAAAACATGCCTGGCATGTCTCATGATAAATATTTATAATATAAAAATGGTTATGTTCAAGTTCTAGTTCTACTTTCTGCCCACATAAATTGAAAACAAGCTTAGCTATTTATTTACTTAATCTAAATTTATCGTGTCGGCCTACCTTCCTAGCTTTCTATTCCGTAACTTACAGGAAATGTTATTTAAGGAACTATTCGTAAAACTCAAATAAGAGTGATTGCTACAAATAATATTTATTTATTTTGTTAATAAAAAACTGAGTCACGCACAAAAGCATTTGCTTTAATTGTTTGACTAATTTGTTTAGAAATTACTGCCTGCGGTTCAGTCGGTGTAATTTGCATACACGCGACGTAGTTAACTTACGTTGGTTTGGTTATAATTATGGTTATTTCTTAGATTGTCGCTCATCTGTTTATGTTTTACATTGCTGGTGTAATTTCGAGATATGTCAATTACTAACTTGTTAATTGAATATTGATTGTTATTGCGGAGCGTGAGATCTCGGGGTTCCATTTTTGACTGGGGAAAATCATCAAAAGATATCTCTAGTCTTGGTTAGGCGAGAGGGAGTGTCAAACACTAACTATTTTAAAAAAGCACCCTGTGTCTATTGCTTCGAGCCGGGGCCCTGGTAACCCGAAAACCAAGTGAAGTCAAACCCCAGTTTGTATAAAGTATTATAGAACTGTTCCGTTTTCAGTTTTTCGATAGCATAATCAGTGGAAAATGAGTTTCTTTTGCTTTTGCTAATATTATTTTGCTGTCGTGAACTTTCTGTATTTTGGCAAAAGTAGTTAGTCATCTAAAATGTTTTCTAAATACCTATTTCCCTTTTAACTTTTTGTATTACTTTGACCTTCCAACGATCTTTTTTAATAAAATAGGTCTTCCTACCTTACCTAAAAGCCAATTAAGTCGATGTCGACGATGTAGGTTTAGGCTTTTATTCAAAAATGTCTTCATTTTGCTCATACTGAGTAAGCACTCGAAGTGTACTTACTAAACATCAAATTGGTTTTAGGAAATTCCTATAAGGACTCAGGTACTCATCTAATTCCGTCCCTGTGTAATTACGATTACTTTTTAAGGTAGCTTAGGGAAGGACAAATTGATTTCCTTTGAATAAATCCTGGGATTAGGTAAACTTTCATTGGAGTTACATATACAAGTTGTTAGTTGTTATTTTGAAGATGACAATGTTTTTTTAACGTCTTTATTGTCTACTAATGTCACGTAACGCTCTATTATCCATAATGGGTTACTACTTGTCGCTAGTTAATATATTGATATCCGAACTCCACGAACTCCGGACTCCATGCTACTAATGAGAAACTAGAAAAATGAAACCACTTCAATAATATTTTGATAGAATATTTTTTATAGAGTAAGCCGGTAAACCACCAGACGGATCACCTGATGGTAAGCAATCGGCGTCGCCCATTGACACCTAGGACACTAGAGGCGTTACTAGTGCGTTATCCGCTTTTTGAGAATTAAGAATTTGAGGAATGCCGGGCATACAGAGATTGGGGAAATTGGGGAACGGGGGGGGGGATTGGGGTCTCCGATATCCTCATTCATAACACAATCATGATGTCGGTTTTCTGTGAGGCCGTGGTATCACTCCGGTCGAGCCGGCCAATTCGTGCCGAACCTTGGCGCTCCACTTAATACATCGTATCCATTTTTGTCTTAAAAATAATATCCAACTAAAAATAATTCCTATTGTTTTCTGTAGATAAACACCCACCACGTACCTAATTACATAAGGCGGTAATCAGATAGCCCCTCACTCCAATTCACCTCTCTCAACCTAATATCGTAAGCGACTGCACTATAATAGGACGGACCCTTTACTTACCTTAATTGATAACATAAC